ATATTGATTTAAAGTATTCTTATTCTGCATAGCTCCAGATATAAAAATTAAAAATATTTTGCCTACTTTAAGTTTTTTAATAATTTATGTATCATTAATTCACACTGCTTTTCTCATCAACTTTGCCTGAAAAGTAATGTTTTACACCTTTCCATAAAGTTAAATTATACCAATTATCTAAATATTGTCAGGACTCTGTTTAAATTCAAAAAATAAAATGGGCCAGGCTCAGTGGCTCATATCTGTAATCCCGGCACTTTGGGAGGCCAAGGTGGGTAGATTACTTAAGGTCAGGTGTTCAAGACCAGCCTGGTCAACATGGTGAAACCCTGTCTCTACTAAAAATAAAATAGAATGAGTTAGGTGTGGTGGCACACGCCTGTAATCCCAGCTACTCGGGAGGCTGAGGCAGGAGAATCGCTTGAACCTGGGAGGCGGACATTGCAGCAAGCCGGAAACGCACCACTGCACCCAGCCTGGGTGACAGAGTGAGACTTTGTCTCAAAAAAAAAAAAGCAATTTAATTTAATTTAGTTTTAAAAATAAAAATAATGGATGGTGCCAAAGTGATTGTATGAGTGACAATAAAACCCGAAGGTATGAGGGACAATATATATATTCCTCTTTAAAGGAACCTTGGCCAGGCACGGTGGCTTACACCCATAATCCCAACACTTTGAAAGGCCGAGGTGGGAGGACTGCTTGAGCTCAGGAGTTCAAGACCAGCCTGGGCAACATAGTGAGATCCCATCTCTACAAAAATTAAAAAATTAGCTGGGTGTCGCAGTATGTGCATGTGGCCTAGCTACTTAGGGAGCTGAGGTGGAAGGATCACTTAAGCCCAGAAGATCAAGGCTGCAGTGAGCCATGATCATGCCATTGCACTCCAGTCTGGACAACAGAGCGAGACCCTGTCTCAATTGAAAAAAAAAAATTAGCCAGGCGTGGTGGTGCACACTTGAGGTCCCAGCTACTCAGGAGCTTGAAGCGGGAGGATTACCTGAGCTGGGGAGGTTGAGGCTGCAGTGAGCTATGATCACGCCAACCTGGGTGACAGAGACCCTGTCTCTAAAAACATAAAATAAAAAGGAGCCCTATACATAGGTATAGATAAGATTTTTTTTTTTTTTTTTTTTTTTTTTTTTGAGACAGAGTTTCGCTCTTGTTTGCCAGGCTGGAGTTGGCCAGGCTGGAGTGCAATGGCAGGATCTTGGCTCACTGCAACTTCTGTCTCCCAGGTTCAAGCGACTCTCCTGCCCCAGCCTCCCGAGTAGCTGGAATTACAGGCACGCACCACCACATCCAGCTAATTTTTTGTACTTTTAGTAGAGAAAGGGTTTCACCATGTTGGCCAGGCTGATCTCGAACTCCTGACCTCAGGTAATCAACCTGCCTTGGCCTCCCAAAGTAAACAAGACTTTAAGAATAAGTTTCAGGAGCAAGAAGGGGCAGAGGGAGGCATTGGAAAGCAGGACTATGAGGAAACTTTATTGGGTGATGAATTTACTCTTGATTTTAGTAAAGGTTCACAGGTCTATAGATACCTGTGAACCTTAATAAGTTGTACACTTTAAATATATGCAGTTTATTGTATGCCAATTATACGCCAATACAACAATTTTAAAAAATAATAAATTTCTGAGGCCTGAAAAGCAAAACAATAGTATAAGAATACTGTCTCCGAACAGTCCCAAAAAAAGACTTGAGATACTACATAATACAAGGAAAGGTTTGAGGATATAACCAAGTGACTGATTCACAATTCCCTTCAGAAAAATGGCACAGGATCGCAGAAATTAGGTGGCAAAAATACTAATATGCCCAAATTGAGAACACAAGAATCTGCTATGCCTAGAGCCCCTGTCACTAATTCAGTGCAATAGCATGTGCTGAGGCGGGGCTGGAAGAGAAATCACAGTCATACCAGACAGACACCCAATCCCAGAGGTCATAAACTGACCATCCCATTGGGCATCACTGACATGTTTGGTTTGGTCCTCACTGTTGGAAAAATAATCTTTTTTAATTAGTTGTCAACATCTAAAAATTCAGAGATCTCTCCACCCAAATCTGAATGCTTAACCTTTCTCAAAATATCAAAAGATCTGGTAACACTTGGATCCCTATTTCCAACCTAGCAATAGGCCAGGAACTCTGGTCAGCCACAGACTTCTGGACTCAGTCTTCCTATTGTTCTGTCCCTGGAAGCTTGACCCATTTATCGTAATGTTTCAACACTATCTCAGTGCTCATCCCCTACATGAAAGTGAACTACACTTAATTAGAGGTGTAACTCCCACTCCAAAAGGTAAGGAACTTTCCTACCTAAGCAAGCAGTGGCAGCCAACAGAAGGCTAGACTTAAGCATACCTTTTTAGAGAAAGGTCAATAATGAAAACAAATCCTGAAAACCAGTTCTTGGGGCATTAGTTTACAACTTCAGTGGAGACACTTGTGACAGAATTTCCCTACTGAAGACCCTTCTCAGCCCCAGCGCCCTCACCCTTCAAACACAAATGCATACACAGTCCCAGCTCCTTCCTTAGCCTTCCCCTCCCACATTCTGCCAGGTAATGGAATGGTAACAGGAAGTTTTATCATCTTGCCTCCAGCTTAAGATGAAGAAAAATTTCTTTAAAAAAAAAAAAACTGGTGAAAAGGCAAAGTTCCCAAGGAATAATCACACAAATTATTACAGGTCAAAAGGGGTCAGAAACCTATACTAATTCAATAAATAATCAATATTTTATTTAATCATTTTATAACAAAAGCATAAATATTAAATCACACTCAAGGTAAGATTTCTTATTATCACTTAACATTTTTCTAGTCAATGCATAAAATAATAGAGAGAACTATCACAAAGAAGTCAATTTAAAAAACAATTAAAAAAAAAACCTCTTAGTTTGCGGATGACCTCATTCCAAGAGAAACCACTGAAAACCCATGAAAACAAATAGGGAAATTCAATAAGGTGACTGAATGGTTACAAAATTAATATACAAAATTACAGTTGTTTCACGTCAGCAATAATCATAGAAAAAACAAGATGAATAAAAATTGAAACATTATAGCAAACAAAACTATAAAATATACCCAGGAACAAAACCAATGAGAGGTGCTAGCACAGTCACATTATCCTGGAGAGGGAGACTTCCTGAGGGGTGATCAACTGTCTAGTTGCTACTTACAGAGTGGGACTGGACTACCACAAAAGATTGACCCTACCCTCTGAACTGTGCATAAGCCACCCTGTCAAAGTTCAGCCTGCACATGACCCAAGAGGAAATCATGGCTTGTTTCCCCAGTGACACTCTGGACCTGATCAAAACCTACGCTTCCCGGGTCCAGTTCTGAATCATAGGAAATCCAACTGAAACTGTTCATTCCTCAGAGTGTATACAGGAAACAGATCCAACCAGCAGAGAATCAGGATTCATCACTTTTCAGGAACCGAGTAAAATGTTAAGTAGAGAAAATTTACCTATTCTCTAAGGAAGGGATTTCAAGGAACTCTATAAAAAGCTTTTGACAGAGGCCAAGCGTGGTGGCTCATGCTTGTAATCCCAGCTCTTTGGGAGGCTGAGGCAGGGTGGCTTGAGGTCAGGAGTTCGAGACCAACCTGGCCAACATGGCCAAACCTTGTCTCTACTAAAAATACAAAAATTAGCCAGGCATGGTGGTGGACACCTAAAATCCCAGCTACTACTTGGGAGGCTGAGGCATGAGAATTGCTTGAATCAGGAGGCAGAGACTGCAGTGAGCCAAGATTGTGCCACTGCACTCCAGCCTGGGTAACAGAGCAAGACTCTGTCTCAAAACAAAACACAACAAAAAAACAATTTTTGACACAGAACTAACTGTAAGCGTGGAAATAAGTACATAGGCCTTTTACATTATTATTACTGAACCGAACCAAGAGAAAAAAAATACTTTGGGCCAGGCGTGGTGGTTCACGCTTGTAATCCCAGCACTTTGGGAGGTGGAAGTGGGCAGCTCACTTGAGGTCAGGAATGATCACTTGAAACCAGAAAGGCCAACATGGTGAAATCCCGTCTCTACTTAAAATACAAAAATTAGCCAGGTACAGTGGTATGCACCTATAGTCCCAGGTACTCGGGAGGCTGAGGCACAAGAATCGCTTGAACCCAGGAAGTGGTGATTGCAGTAAGCCAAGACTGCGCCACCACACTCCAGAACAGAACAAGAACCCATCTCAAAAAAACAAAAAAAAATTTTGGGGCTGGGCGTGGTGGCTCACGCCTATAATCCCAGGACTTTGGGAAGCTGAGGCGGGCAGATCACTCAAGGCCAGGAGTTCAAGACCACCCTGGCCAACATGGCGAAACTCCATCTCTACTAAAAATACAAAAAATTAAGCCAGGTGTGGTGGTGCACATCTGTAGTCCCAGCTACTAGGGAGGCTGAGGCACAAGAATCACTTGAACTCGAAAGGCACAGGTTGCAGTGAGCCAAGATCATGCCATTGCACTCCAGCCTGGGGGACAGAGTGAGACTCTGTCACAAAAAAGAAAAAATATTTTGAAATATGTTTATATTAATAGGAAATTCCCAATTAATACAGTCCTCAATATTTCAGAATTTGTGATTGTTTATGGTTTGGTTTCAAGATTATCTTTTTACTCTCTAGACAAAAGTAGTTTCCTAAGAATATTAACTTAGGATTGATGATTTGAAGCACCACAGAAACATCTGTTTATATTCAGATAATTAATATGCTAATTTCTATCTATTAAATTAAGCAGGTTACCTAAGGACTTTTCAAAATAATACTTCATTAGCCTGATAATAATGAATATATATAGTTGAAATAAGAAAATGGACATCTGTTGTAAGACATCCTTCAATTTAAGCCTTTTACTAAATCAAACCAGTTTTCATACCTTAATTTCAATTATGGAGGTACATGTCAACAAACCAAAACAATACAAAACAAAAAATCCTCTTTTGAGATAGAAAACAAACATTTCCATTCTTACCTTTGATGGTCTCCATTCCCAACTATCACCTATCTGTTGTGAATGTTTAATGAATTCTGCACAATAATGTTGGAATGTTTTTTCTCCAATGAACTCATCTTCTTCCATGTTAAATGATAACTGTAATATAAAAACTAAGTATTAGCATCAACTTTAGAATAATATTGAAAGGAATTCTGCTAATTGATTTATTTCTGTCAATAAACCAAAATTTGGGATGTAGAATGGCCTCAAGGCCACTAAAAAATGGTTTTGGTCAGGCGTGGTGGCTCACACCTGTAATCCCAGCAATTTGGGAGGCCAAAGCAGGAAGACAGCTTGAACTGAGGAGTTTGAGACTAACCTGGTCAACATAGCAAGACTCTGTCTATATACAAACTAAAAAACAGCCAGGCATAGTGGTGTGCACTTGTAGTCTCATCTACTCAGGAGGCTGAGGCAGGAGGATCACTTGAGACCAAGAGTTCAAGACTGCAGTTAGCTATGATCATGCCACTCTACTCCAGCCTGGGCGAAAGAATGAGACTCCATCTCAAAAAAAATAAAAAAGTATTTTTGTTTTTTCTATCTTTCTCACCTTATCCCCATTTTTTGTTGTTTTTATTTTTGTTGTTGTTGTTATTGTTGTTTTTGAGATGAAGACTTGCTCCATCATCCAAGCTGGAGTGCAATGGCATGATGCCGGCTCACTGCAACCTCCGCTTCCCAGGTTCAAGTGATTCTCCCACCTCAGCCTCTCGAGTAGCTGGAATCACAGTTGCATGCCACCACGCAGGCTAATTTTTGTATTCTTAGTAAAGACAGGGATTCACCATGTTGGCCAGGCTGGTCTTAAACTCCTGACCTCAAGCGAACCACCAGCCTCGGCTTCCCAGAGTGCTGAGATTATAGGCATGAGCCACAATGCCCAGCTTTTTCTGTTTTTATATTCCTGTTTCTGTATCTTTGGTGCTTAGCATAGTAAACACTCTAGATGCTTTTGTTCAATTGAATTAAAATCATATAAATTGCAAGGATTTTAAACCCCTGTTTGGCTCCAAGGTCAATGATCTGTCTATACTAGCTAATTCCTAAACCAGTGTCATTTCTGATTATTCAAATTTAGTATAATCTATGTAAGTTTGTTCATTAATCCAACAAATACATAGTGAATATCTATTAAGTAGCAGGCACTGTGCGTAAGTAAAAGTTAGGTATACAAAAATGAAAAAATATATAGTCCTTGCCTTGTAAGAGCTCATATTCTAACAAAGGGATATAAGAAATTCAAATAATTACAGTAGGAACTCTCTTATCCAACCTCCATCTAACCAACTTGCCAGATTAATCGACACTGACTCATGTCTACAGCATGCTGATCATGAAGCACCTCTGCTCCCATCAGTTAACTGTGTGTTCACAAACCTTATTCTCCTATCATAAATACATACTGTAATTAAATGTTAAACAAACCAAAACATAAGAGTAAAAAAGAGGGCGGGGCATGGTGGCTCACCCAGCACTTTGGGAGGCCAAGGTGGGCAGATTTTGAGGTCAGGAGATCAAGACCATCCTGGCTAACACAGTGAAACCCCATCTCTACTAAAAATACAAAAAATTAGCCGGGCGTGGTGGCGGGCACCTGTAGTCCCAGCTACTCAAGAGGCTGAGGCAGGAGAATGGCATGAACCCAGGAGGCGGAGCTTGCAGTGAGCCGAGATGGTGCCACTGCACTCCAGCCTGGACGACATAGCCAGACTCCGTCTCAAAAAAAAAAAAAAAAAGTAAAAAAGAAGGACAACTGATATTTCTATAACCAAATGCCTTGGAAAGATTTGATAAAAGTGAGTCTCTAAGAAAAATAAACTGCTATTGAACTAGGTATGGACAATACAACTGAAAAGATTGGTGAGGACAGGGGAGAGAAAAGATTCCAAGCTTTCTGCCTTTAAGTGGTGGTTCATTGAGTAAGACAGAGGTCACTGGAGGAAGAAAAGGTTTGGGAAGAGAGATGGGTTTAATGTGGCCATATTGAGTTTGAATTTGAAATGCCTGTGGAATGTCCAAGTAAAGGGGTCTAGCAGGTATTTTGAGGTGTGTCTTGAACTCAAAAGGAAAGAGAAATCTGGGCTGGAAATACCGATTCTGTATCAACATTACGTAGATGGTAACAGAACCCATTTCATCAATCAGAGAGAGAATGCAAAACTAGAATAGCAAGAGAAGACTGATATGGTGCAGTCAGAGGAAATTTTTCCAAATGTATGATGATCCTGACATATACTGAAAGATACTAAATCAAAGAAAAATTAACTTTCGTTCATAAAGAACACTAATATACTTACTAATATTTTTAAAACTCCAACAAGACTCTTAGTTAGTAACAAAACTGAACAAAGCAGGCCGGGCGCGGTGGCTCAAGCCTGTAATCCCAGCACTTTGGGAAGCCGAGACGGACGGATCACGAGGTCAGGAGATCCAGACCATCCTGGCTAACACGGTGAACCCCGTCTCTACTAAAAAAAAATACAAAACACTAGCCGGGTGAGGTGGCGGGCGCCTGTAATCCCAGCTACTCGGGAGGCTGAGGCAGGAGAATGGCGTGAACCCAGGAGGCGGAGCTTGCAGTGAGCTGAGATCTGGCCACTGCACTCCAGCCTGGGCGACAGAGCGAGACTCCATCTCAAAAAAAAAAAAACCTGAACAAAGTAGCCTAAGCCCTCCAGTTACTTGAGGTTTACTGAAGTATTGAAAATACTTAAACATAAAATTTCATTCAATAGCCATAGTGTATCTAATTAACAGCACTGTGCTACAAGCAAGATGACTGAACATCAAAACACTAATTGATATTTGGTTGAATACTTTTAAAATTATCTAAGGACTAGGCTTTGCTGAAGGATGCTACATACAATAATACAAACACTTATGGCTTGATTACAAAATTAGGAAGTATACTATATTAAAAAGATATCCATCTCAACTCGATTCATCATAACGTACCATAATGAAATCATGGAATAATTATTGCTTTTTTGCTCAAGAATATTTCAACTCAAAAATGTAAATATAATTCAATCAACATTTTTATACATAGTTTTCAAGTTGTAATACTTTCCGGTCCTCTACCAAATTCATAAACTAGCAGAGGCAGAAATTTGAATCTGAGAACTTCCTATAATGAAATGGATGAAAATATGGCTAAAAATGGAAATAACCACAACTGTGGCTTATTAAGCAATAATAGCAAGAATACTTACTTTGCAAATTGAAAAACCTTAGATATGTGAACTGCATATGTTTCCAGACTTAAGTTATCTTAAACTAAATTCACACTACAGGTGACAACAGTCACTCAAGTGAACTCTCAGTAAAAAGATGAATTTCAATTCTCATCTCATCCTAAACAATGAATCTCTCATTTTTAGTTGTAAGTTAAAGTTAGAAATGAGTCAGCACTCCTTGTGTCATAAAGTATAAGTTGTTTTGTTTTGTTTTGTGTTTTGGAGATGGAATCGCCCAGGCTGGCATGCAGTGGCATGATCTCAGTTCACTGCAATCTCCGCCTCCCGGGTTCAAGTGATTCTCCTGACTCAGCCTCCCAAGTAGCTGGGACTACAGGTGCACGCCACCACACCAGGCTAATTTTTTGTATTTTAGTAGAGACCGGGTTTCACTGTGTTGCCCAGGCTGGTCTCGAACTCCTGAGCTCATGCAATCCACCCACCTTAGCCTCCCAAAGTACTAGGATTATAGGTGTGAGCCACCATGCCCGGCATTAAGTTGTTATTAACATCCATTTTGCTTGAGACTTACTCCAGCTGAAGAATTGTGTTTTGTTTTTGTTTTTGTTTTTGTTATGTAACATTCAATCAAAACCTTTTTCTAACTGCTTTACCAGAGACTAAAGATTGGAAAATAGAGTAAGTTTCCCCGCCAAGTGAGGGTAGTCTTTCCAAACTATAAGTTAGCCCTTAGACTAGAAGCATAGAAGATGTTTATTCGGCTGCTGTTCAAATATATCTTTCCAGAAAAGCAGCTTTAGTGAATTCTAACACTATATAATCATTGTTTAAATGATCCTTTTTAATTGAAAACAATTTTTTCACTACCACTCTCCATATTGTTTAATGTGATTTTTAATATAATGTGTGTGGAACTAATTCTTTGTTATTGTTTTAGTTGGAGCCATTGATTTGATGAATCTATAAATCAATGTATATCAAAGTCATAATAGGACTAAAACACTATAAGAAATATAACTAAATTTCCCGGAACTTAAGATCATTTACAAAAATGTGATTACCACAGAACATGCTATGCATACATTTAAACATTAAAAATCATTTTTGACTAATAAAGTAGGCAATTTCCTGAATACTTGTCCCTCCTAGCAACAATTCCACATTATTTATAACTCTAAGTGTAGACTCTTTTTTAAAAAACATGCAATATCAGCTAGGAGAGTTAAACATCAACCCACTACTTTTATGGCAATTTGGCTTGAATTCATTTAGATTTAATCACTTACCTAGCAAGGTCCTTAGGCAGTGATCCTCAAATTTTAGAGAGCAAGGAAGCAACCACAGTGCAAATTTAAATGCAGAATCCTAAGTCTTGGCCGAAAGATAACCTGATTCTGAAGACCCCAAAATAATTACTTTTAATTAGCACCTGGGATACTTTCAAAGGGAATCATGCTAAAAGACTAGCATGATCCCTAGACAAAAGATGAATCATTTTGACAGGGCTGGTAAAAGACCTGGATTTCAAGACATTTGGCAGCCTGGGTGGGACACAGAAGGCATGGCCCTGGGCAATCCAATAAAATAGCACAGAGATACATCAAAAGAGAAGTCGGATCAGTCCTGACAACAGATGACCAGCAGGGCTCAATTCTCCCTCCTCGCCTTCCCATTGGAATACATATTCCAAATCAAAGTTTAAATAAGAGGCAACACTGTACCTAGCCTAGAAATGAGGAATCTCTGTTGGTAGCTGAGGCTTGCTCTGACCTCTCTATCACTAGGTCAGTTGGGAAGAGGGTCATTTCACCCTCTCCCATTCTGTATTCCCTTCAGAGAAACAGATCCTGAGTTGCCCCTCCCCTCCTGGTTTCTAGCCCCACTGGTAATTCTCTT